ATTAACCGTATTTACATTGAACCTTATGGGAAAATTTGCTTCGGGGTGCGACCAAATTCGGAGGGTGGAATGGATTAACCGTATTTACATTGAACCTTATGGGAAAATTTGCTTCGGGGTGCGACCAAATTCGGAGGGTGGAATGGATTAACCGTATTTACATTGAACCTTATGGGAAAATTTACCTTGACATGCGACCAACTCAACTTGCGATCAGAGTTACGGAACGGATTAAGTTCGTAAGTAGAGGTACCACTGTATAATTTAAAAAAATGTTTAACAGTCTGGTGAAACAGGGAATGGGGAAAAAAATAGTGATGTGTCTAAGGTCTTCCCTTCTGACTAGGATTATCAGAATTGAAGGATAGTATATTTGGAGGACATTGTTTATGACTGCAGACAATTTTAAACTAGTAACTTTATGTTCTTTACATTCTGAAGGTGTTTTTCCTCCAACTACTAGGTAAAGCTATCCAAATTATCACTTTTCGATATCTAATGCAGCATCTAAAATTATATTTGGCTGTAAAATATATATGTATATATCTCCCTGTCTAGTGTCTTTTGCTTTTGTTTTTCATGTGTCAGGAAAAGTATATGTTTCAAAGAAGGAAGGAGGTAGGTTTGAATTACGGCTAGGTTTTGTATTTTTAAAACTTGGAGGATGAACTATTATGGGTTTATCTCCATAGCCTTAGGAGAAGCCTAGATCTAAGCTGAAGTAATCTCAGCAGGTAATAAAGTTTAATGTGAAAGCTGGCAATGTATTATTCCATTCCATTTTAAGAAGTTTGGTGGTACTTATTCTGATTAACAAATTTATTAAAAGGCATAAGCTTTTGTGAGCTGCAGATTATACATTTTAATAAAATTTGTTAACTGGAAAAGGTGCTACCAGACTCCTCCTGATTTTTTGCCACTGTAAACTAACATAGCTCTCTACGATAATATGAATTAATATACCGTATTTTTCTGACTACAAGACGATACTTTTTTCTAAAATCC